CCAGCATCAGACCTGCCTGATATCCAACACCTTCGTTTGCAGTCAGGACTCTTAGGTATTGCCATTAAAAAACATCTACAAACTTGGCCATACATTTTTGCTGCTGGCCTTAAACAGAGCCTCAGCAACCCAGAATAATTAATGTTTCCACATCCCAGTAAGTACCTAACACCAGAGAATGGCTGAAAGGGATAGAACATACTCATATGCATTGCAATAAACTTCCTTTTTGTTTTATACTCTTCTAATAAGTTAGTAGGAAGGGAACACTTTAAAATAGTAACATGAGTTGACAGGTGGAAGTCACCATGCTCAAGTTGCAGATCCAAGTTTAGAAATCATGAAGCTTGCTCAAAAAAAAAGATTAAGATGTTAAACTCATTTGAAGGATACATACTTGCATAAAAAAAAGATGTAAAATGAGGTTTAAATCAGACAAAAAGCAGAAATTAAATAATTCAAAGTAGTTATATTTTTACTGATATAAATAAACCTTAAAGACACATATACACTTACACACCTCAAGCCCAATTTGGCAGACTGTTAAAACAGGATGCCATCTGGGAACCTGATTCCCAAGAAATGACTTTACAGTGCTGCGACAAAACCAAGCACCCTTTGAAGCTTTAGAGAACAGTTGCATCCTTAAAATATCATTTTGAGCCTCCTTTATTTTTCCGATATAAATATGTTAACACTAATTTTGCTTCCAACTACTGTTCCTCTGGCAACTAGCATGTGTCAAAAAAATAAATTCTTGATTTCTGCACTCTCACTTTAATAGATTTAAGAAAACAAACTCGGTCAATATTAATGTTTATTTAAAGCTACTTTTATACCTAAAATACTAATACTCTAAATAATAGAGTGTATCTATACTAGAAAATAATTTCTTTACATGACAAATAGTGCTCAAAAGCATTGCCATCCTGTAATTATACTATGAACAGAATGTATCTGAGGAAGTGCTAAAAACTGGATGGAAATGGTAAGGGGGTGGAAGGAAGGAACATGTTTACAATCTGTTCAAAGTCTCAGCTTAGAAATTCTGATATAGAGAGCAATGGTTTAAATAGGGGACTTAGTTTCAGAGTCAAATTGCCGGACACGTAAAATTAAAACTTTTCATGGTAAACCCTACCTTCCTGCCAACTTCGAGTCCTCCAATACAGGACCGCTGGGCTACTCTGTCCGGTTGGTTTCTATTACAAGCAACTGCTGTGCCTCTTTTCATGACCGATGCCACCACAAAGACCATGACACTTGCTGCAGGAGCGCTCCAGTGTGCTGTGGCATGTGGGTGTGGTCACTGTGCCTGTTCTCCTACAGCCCTTTTATGGAAGGCTTACACAGACAGCTCTGTGGGAGTCATACCCCCTCTTCTCTGTGGATCGTGTGTGTGTTCAGTATGGATATTTAGTAAATGATTGATAATGATGCAGTTACTCATCTATTCATCAGTACAAAAGATGAACTTCATAGCATCAGATTGAGGTAGACCGCAATCTATCATTCATGAAGACTAAATTATAAATTTGCTTATTAGTCTTTTGGGAAGAAAAAACATGGATCCTACCATCAGGGATAACAAAATTAAAAATGTTACCTGACTCTTGAATGTATATAATTCTCAAATAAATGGAATAATTCAAACATACTTGGAAAAATTAGAACGACTGCTTCCTACAAAGTAAAATGATTCAGTTAGAAAATCAGATAACATAATATGTATAATTACAGAAATATAAAGAGTACTCTAGTCCGGGCACAGTAGCTCATGCCTGTAATCCTAGCACTCTGGGAGGCTGAGATGGGAGGATCACTGAGGTCAGGAGTTCGAGACCAGCCTGAGCAAGAGCAAGACCCCATCTCTACTAAAAATAGAAAAATTAGCCGAGTGTGGTGGTGTACGCCTGTAGTACCCACTACTCTGGAGCCTGAGGCAGGAGGATTGCTTCAGCCCAGGAACTGGAGGTTGTTGTGAGCTAGGCTGATGCCATGGCACTCTAGCCTGGGTGACAGAGTGAGACTCGGTCTCAAAAAAAAAAAATTTTTTGAAAATTTAAAAATTTAAAAAATTAAAAATTAAAAAAAAAGACAACAAAAAAAGAGTACTCTAGCTCTGACTAGTGAAAAGCTATTGTGAATTAAATTGTAGATCTCAGATTGCTGGAAAATAGGAAAATAGTTGCAGATTATTCGATAGCAACAGTTCTTTTAATTGCTTCTGCTCCTGCCACTCATTTTCAACATATACACACACACAAATTCTCCTCAGTTCCATATGCCAACTATATATTTATCACTGCCATTCACTAACAAAGAGCCCCTCACACTCTCCAACACTGAGGCTATCAACTGCCCTTTCCTATTTGCTCTGTGTCATGGTTAGGTGGTACTTGTAACAAAGGCCAACAACAGGTCTAAGTCATATTAGATGCCATCTGAACAGCTGAGTTATGATAGAGCATTTAAAATAATCAGATAGTTTGCCACACTTTTGTTAAATTTAACGTATACCTATGTGCAAAATGATCTCAAAGTACTCACATACCGCCACACTTTCAAACAAATTATAAGGAGGCTTTCCATTAAACACACTAACTGAAATGTATGAATTATATGTCAGTAAATTAAAAGTTACATTTTAGCAGAATGTCAAAAGTGTCTGTCAGTATTCTTCATTTCCACATGACTATTTTGCTGGCAGAGAGAGAATAAGGAAAATTCTAAATCTAAGCCAGGATTTCTGAACCCAATACTATTAATATTTGGAGTAGGAAAATTCTTTGTTGTGGGGGCTGCATTAAAGGGTATTTAACAGCACACCTGACCCATTAGATGACTGTATCATCCCTGCTGCAGCTATGACAACCAAAAGTATCTCCAGAAATGGCCAACCATCCCTGGGGGGCAAAACTGTCCCCAACTGAAAACCATTGATCTAACCAACAACAAGTCCTTTAATCTATGATAATGATAGGACAAGAATTTTGACCTATGGGAGTCTCCATATTATATATTTAAAAAAAAAATCAAGAAGTGTGTTTTTATTTAGTAAGCAATTATTTGCTTTCCTTTAAACCTGCTTCTTTAAATAAAAATCCTATCTCAGGGCAAAAGAGCTTGGCCAACATTTTTAAAGAAGTCATTTGCCAGCTTCCACGTCTCATCTGGGAGGCCCTAGCACTTACACTGCAGCAGACCCAGATGGCCCCCTTTGTGTTTTGGTCCAACAAGATAGAATTATCAGAGGAAATGTTCTTAAGGAAAGTCAACGTTCCCATGCAAGCATTCTCGCAGGTACTACTTAGGCACACCTTGCTTTGACAGACTTGTGGTTTCCACTGAAACAAGTTGTTCTGCATACTTCTTACTACAGCTATAACTATGTGACCTCCCAGTTTCAGTTTGTCAGTAATTTAATTTCACTGAACGCTGAGCCCAGATGCTAATTTGTCTTAAACATTTTAGACCCAACATCTCATGAAACAGGCTCCAGGCAAGCTTTGCTCATATCATTCTTGGAATTAGAAGCCAAGGAACATGTTTCACCTAGTCCTCAGCCTACTCAAATATAGGTTACAGAGTTTCGAAACAGTATGATTTTAGGGGGGAAACACATTTACTCTTAATAGACATCGACAACTTAAGAAAAAGACTTTCAAGTCTAAAGTTTCTTTGCCCATTAGCTAGGTCTTATGAAAGAGTATGTTGATAACAAAAAATAAAACAAATGCATCCAAATATTTATTTTTCATGAAAATTAAACACGACCTCGCATACTACGACAGTAAACATTTCATTTTGGCTATGAAACTTAGGATCTCAAAACTACCTTTTAATCAATCAGAAATGCAGACAGACTCATCCCTGCCATGCACATATCATGGAGTTTAGAAAAGCTTATTCAACAGAACTACAAGCAGATATGTTCCAAACAGTTTGTTCATTTAAAAATATATAGTTAGACTTTAAAAGACCAATTCTATCAGAGTTTTTAGGTTGTACTGCTAAGACAACGTATACTAAAGATATTTATATAAATGGTTGTTTTTCTTCAGAAAAAAATTGACCATATTTAAGATAGTCAATTTTTTAATAACTATTAAAGCTACTACATAGGGATATTAACTGTGTAAACTAAATCTTTGAACTGGTAAAAACTGATTTTTCCATTTCCAGTATTTCTATAAATAAAACAAGGTGTTTATTTTCTCGTTGGAAAAATATTAATTGGGTTTAAGAGCCATGATGACAAGGAGGTAGTTATTACAAAATTAATTTTCCTGTCACATTTATCTGATAACACAAGTTTATTACTGATTTCCTGGAAGTAAATTAGATTTATAGGAAAAAAGAATCTCACAAGAGCTTAAACCCAGATTTCCTGAAATCATACACTCACAGAGGAACACCATTTTCCACCTAAAATCTAACAGTATACCCACATTCATGTTCTCATCCCCACTTTCACTTTCTCATCCATACTATTAATAGTGAAAAATAGTTCATGTTTAAAAATCAGCCAGAGCTAACAAGGTCCCTGGCCTTGTAGGTCCCAGGCACTGCTGCCTTCCAATTAAGAAAGTCTCTTTTGCCACTACTGTCCTGCTCTAATTTTTATATTAATAATGTTTTAATTCCAAATGTATTTAAAAACTATCTAAAAATAATTATTTTTACTCTGTAAGCTATAATATAATCTCTAAATTTACTTTATAAGTATAATGAGTATCCTCACCATTAGCAACCAAACACTACCACATTGGGCAAGCATTAAAATATAAACGCTACCATTTCGGTCAGTATGGAGATTTATAATAAGACCATGTTACCAATCACAGTCCCTAAGCCATTTCTTAAATAGTCTATTTTGGTATGAGAACGGAGGAAGATACAGAGAAAGGAACAATTTTTCTGTAATCATAAACTCTCAGCAATTCTTTTCTCTTAAGCTACAAGTCCTAAATTTAAATATATATATCTAACAAACTTACTTGACAGTGACTCGATTTGATAAATCCTGTAGATCCCCAGGATGAAAAAGCTGGGCTTCTTTCAATCCAATCTGTTCACAAGCTTTCAAAAAAACATTTATATTATCCTGTGAAAAGAAGTGGAAAGTGATTGCTTAGCCGAGCTCTCTCTCAAAGGTTACAAATTTTTATAACTTCACAGCTTCAAAGTCCAATTACCGTCAGCAAAAGAGGCGGCAGCAAGACCAATGCATATGTATATTTGAAAAAAAATACATGGGGCACATATAGGCTTCCAGGCTTTCAGAGCATGAACGGTAGTGCTATCTGATGCCTGGGCTACGCTGTTTCTGTGATCTTTGTGACTGGCACGTTAAACATTACCTGTTATAGGACAAGTGCCTAGCCACTGAGCAGTAATCTACACTTTGATGTCAGCGCTGCTCTGCAAACAAACGCCCTCTTCCCAGCTTCGCACGACAAGCCTCACCTCTCCTCTTCAAAAATAACTCCAGCTACTGACATTCACCCACCCAGAAACTGTTGGCAGGGAAGAAATGAGAGGAGGAACATTCTGTTTCTATGATTACAAATTACAGAACGACTGTGGAATACCACACCTGGAATCTGGGTTTGTTTGCTGGGCCAGCTCTTGACAGACAGGGAAACTATACCATAGGACCGAGGAGAAGCCCAGTGCTCATTGGCTGAATCGCATTGTGTGGCACATTACTCACCCTGCACCTGCCTGAAGAGCTGCTTCCAAAAAATGAAAATCTATCCCCTACCTCCAAGGTTGTGCTCATATCTGATTTCAAAACCAAAATCCTCCATTCACAAACCAATGCTTTTCATTAATGTTAACTGCTGCACAAACACAGATTACAATATATTCTAGTTTACAGTCCGCTACATTTCAGAGTCGTACATTTATTTGGTTACCAAAATTAGCTCAGGCTTCATCTTTACTACTCTGAAAAAAGAGAACACTTTATGGGGTTGAGCTTATGCAGATCCCACATGAGCTCTCCACACTCGCTTTGTTAGGGCTCTCAGGTAAAGGGACGGCCTCCCAGCATGCCAACACACACGGGTCCACTGAAGCCTGCTGGCAATGCCACCTCTGTGGTGTGAGCCTCCAGCGTCTCCCTTGGAACCTCTTCTCCCTCCCTCAAAGCTGACTTTCACAGACCAGAAGACAACCTGCCGCTTGGAGAAAGGCAATCACTCCCACAGGAAGAAAAGTCGGATGGTATTGCAAAATAGGAGGAAATGATTTAAGAAAACAAAGATAAAGAGGCTAAATTCAACAGCTTGGGCTCTTGGAGAGTGAGGGGATTTAGGGAAAGTACAAGAGAAGGTGTGGCAAGAGAAAAGCAACACTGATTGCTAGGGAAAAGGACATAAAAAAAAAAAAGTCACTATGTGTAGAGGTGGGAGGTTATTCCAGGCTACCATCTGCAAAAAAGGTGGTGTGAACTACCTAACTGGAAGCTGAAAACCATGAATTATTTTCACTAAGATCCCTCAAAGATTAAAGAAATTTGTAAGTCAAAAATTGAGCAGCTCAATGAGAGGTGTTTGACTTGGACTTCATGCGGAAAAAGAAGAAATAATTTATTGGCAAAATTCCAGGAGGAACAGGAAGTGACAATTTTATTAAGCTCACAGTTTCTAAAAACTATACTATCTGTAATTGTTGAATGATACAAATTAATGGTTCTAAAACTGGCCCTCTGAGAAGCAGACAAGAACAAATGCTTTGGTGTATCAATACCCTAAGTTCTACGGGAAGCAAATCTCATGTCCAAAAAGGAAAAACAAATCATTAGAAGTCTCCCCACCAACTCAATTTGGTTCTGAACGTTTAAAGCATTATAAAATATTAAAACAAAGTTAAACTAAAAGTAAATTTACTGAACTGAAAAACAATTCTTCATATATTTGGTACAAACATAACAGCATTCATCTGTCTGACAAATATGTACAGGTTGATAAGGATAAATAAAGCCACACGCTGCTCAGAAACCACGTTAAGTATTTAGAAAGAAACCGCTTAAAATCTAGAGTGAGTATACTTAATTGGAGAAAAAGTTCAAGAAAAATATAATTAAATATAATTAATATGATTAAATTCTAGTCTTAAAGTCTTTATTTTAACCAAAAAAATCAGAGTTTCTTTTAAACAATTCAATGATGCTCAGGTTTAAAACAGAAAAACTTAGTAAGCACAGTCACACATGGACTATACAGCAGGAACAGGTTGTACTAAGATCAGAACTGCAACCTACATCATGCTTACTGGACTTGAGCCCACTGGTAATTCACTGTTTGCAATTTCAAAGGACTCAGGCAGAGAGTTGCCTAAGGGGATATAGAAAATTACAAGATTTTCATGTCTGTTGAAACATGGAGAAGCCACACCCAGCAGGAAACATTTAGTCCTCATTTAATAAAATCATTTTCACTTGAAACTACCAGAAATAAGAGTAAAAATAAAAGGCAAACTAAAATAAATCTTATCTAATTGGACTGGTGGCCAGGACTCCAAGTTAGCCTTGCTAACCAATTATGTGGCTTTGGAAAGACTGTTAAGCTTTCTGGCTCTGTTTTCGTCATCTGTGAAATGAGCAGTTTGTGGATCTATAACCCATTACCAAGAGCAAACACTCCTCTTCCCAAGAGGAGGGAAACCCAACCTCCCAGGCCCAACCTATCACAAAAATATTTCATAGCCCAACTTACACAAAATACTTCATGTCAAAATCCTGCTCTAAATATCTGTAATCCCTACACTTTCAGAACCAAAAATGGCTTCTCAAAAACAAACAACAACAACAAAAAAAGATGGACCTTAAAAGTATCTAGCAGCTCCTTTTACCTGTAAATTTTCCTATGACTATGAATAAAGGCAGATACTATATAAACAAGAAAACTAGATGGCTTAAGATTTTCATATTTTCTCCAACGTCCTCTCCGCCCCTTAGCTTTGAATGAATTATAAAGCAGTCCTAGCAGGTGTGTGGTGGAGGCAGCTGGGGTAAGTTAGCTAATTGATCAGGAACAGCAGTACTTACTAATAGGTGAGGTAAGAAGAGGAGCCACGCAAGTCTACGGATTGTAAAGCTTCGTATTCATTCACTGCGGTACCTCTATTAGTTATCTACTGCTGCACAGCAAATTAGCCCAAAATTTAGCAGCTGAAGAGACTTTTATGATTTTATAGTTTCTGAAGGTCAGTAATTCGAGAGTGGCCTTAGCTGGATGGCTTTGCCCTGGGAAGCCACTCATCAGGTTGTAGTCTAGATATCAGCCAGGACTGCAGTCATCCAATAGGCCTTCCCGGAGCTTGGAGGAGCAGTTTCCAAGGTGGCTCATTCACCTGGCTGGCAAATCATGGCTGGCTGTTGACAGGAAGCCTCAGTTCTTTACCAAACGGACATCTCCAAAGGGCTGCTTGATAGCTGCCTGATCGCTGCTTGACAGCGATCCAAGAGAGAGCAAGATGGAAGTTGCAAAGTCTTATGACCTAGCTTCTGAAGTCACATTCCATCATCTCCTCAATGTCCTCTTGGTTACACAGGTCAGCCCTGTTCAGCGTAGAGAGGACTCACAGAACACAAGCAGCAGGAGGTGAGGCTCACTGGGGCTTTCTTGGGGATTAGCTACCATCTAAGTCAGACCAGGTGTGCATGAGGCTCCTCAGGTGTAATTCCTTAAATGTGGCCCTCAAGTACCATTCCTCTCACCTTGAATGTCAATTAACCAAAGAGACGAATTGCTGGTCCTTCACACCCCCAACACACAACAGTGGGGCAGGTAATCACCATAGGCACTCCAGGTCAAAGTGTGGAGAAATGAAAAGAACACAGGAGTGAGTCTCTGGTCCATGGAAATTCTGAAATTATGCAAAGCACAGGCTGGCAATTCCTTCATTAGGACTCCAGGCCAGGGAATACTTCAGGGTTTTGATTCTACCCTCTGGATTCTTGGTTCCACCCTAAAAATCATCTTCCCTTTACATTAAAAAGTAGCCTATGTTTGCAGCTGTGTAGCTTTCTCAATCCATTTCCTACCCTACCCATAGAAATTTGGGGGCAGTAAGGGTCTCAATGTTATAATTTTCTGTCCCTTTTAGTCTAAGCTGGTGGTGTTTCTGCATATACAATTCTCTCAAAGGTACTACAGGTCTTCTGTGAATCTTACTGGGGTTCATTCCATTAGACAACAGCCACACGCACAAATCTCTTTAAGAGAAGCCCTTCTCTACCTTGGTCTTCTACTGAGATGACTGAAGAACACCACACGCAGGCTTCTTAGAAGCTCCATTGCTGGACTGGACAGATTTCCAAGGCACCACCTAGGATCTTTCTAAGAATTTAAAGAATTTTACAACCGCACCCTCAAGTTCATCTTTAGACCTTGTTTTCCTGCCAATGCTCTGATTTTAAGCTATGCCTGAAAACCATTTCTCAATTCTAACATCATTCATTTACTAAAGAGGCTGACAATTTTCAAAACCATCAATTCCCGTTTCCCTCATGTTTATCATTACTCCATCCTTCACATTCTCCTCTCACATTTTACTGTAATCAGCAAGAAGAATTAAGACTTCAGTTCAACACTCCGGAAATCACTTCACTAGAAGAGTGGCATCTCTTCACTAAATCACCTGCTTAATTGGGTACAATGGCCAGGTGCAAGGGAGTGAATATCAGAAATGAGAATCATGGGGACCATTTTGAAAGCTGGCTATCACAATACTCTTAACACTAAAGAATACAGAGCAGTCATTAATTTGTAATAGAAAAATAAACCTTTAGAGATGTTGAATTTTAGATGTCTGGCTAGCAATAAGTTAGGTTTAGAGCCATAAGAAATATTTGATATTAAAATATGGTTTGGGGAGTCAAGCACACATTGGTAGTAGTTGAAATGAAGGATGTCAATGAGCCCTCTTAGGAAAAGCAAAGAGAAAGATTCACAATCAACCACCAATAGTAAAAGGGCAGTTAAAGAAAGAAGAGTCAAGAAAGAAAAAAATCCCGCATCCAGAGAAATAAAAGGAAAAGCAGAAGAGAAGAGCATCGTGGAAAACAAGGGAAGAGACCATTTTAAGAAGGGAGAAGCAGATACTGCAATAAGGAAAACTACCCAAAGAATTTGACAATCACATGATGGCTCGCACCTGTAATCCCAGCACTTCGGGAGGCCAAGGCAGGAGGATTGTTTGAGGACAGGAGTTCTAGAACAGCCTGAGCAACATAGCAAGACCTTGTCTCTATACAAAATTTAAAAATT